CTCCCCGGACGCCGATGATCGCGTCCCCCACGCAATACGCTCTCCACGTGAATACAATTACGTGAAAACTCGGAATGGTAAACACCCTCCGGGCCGTTCCTCGGCTCCTAGATCATATTTTACAACTATCGGCCCCGCCCCGCTTCCTGCGCCTTTGAACGCGCCCCGGAGCTTTCGCGGTTTCCGTAAGAAGGAAGCTGAACCACTACGCGAGGGGGAAATCCGAGATGTCGCCTGTGTGGCTCGGTGGGTTATTCCCTTCGCGCGAGAACTCGCTGTCGGGTTCGCCATTGCGAAATTGAAAATACGAGAGATAAACTTCTGCAAATGAATCATGAGTTTTACTATTTACAAATATCACGGGGATTCTATGCGTTTGTTTTATAGAGAATTTCATGGGATTAGATCTAGCAGAGAATTGGGCAGATTTTAGTCACCTCTTCATTCTATTTGGAGTCTAGTGATTGAAATTACCTAAGCAATAGAGGAAACAAATCCTTCGAATTTCAACTGCTACGAAATACTCTACAACCACTCGAACTAAAAATATTTCAGTTTACAAATTTACAAAATTGAACACTGTAACAGTGGAAAATATAAATCCCTCCAACACTCCTGAGAACAGACTTGAGCACCATGCAAATTCACTCGAACGAACAAGATTCCAGTGAGAAATAAATCGACGGAGACAATCCAATCGCACTATGCAAAGAACACGAAAGACCAATGAACCGTTTACTTTCTCCGGGAGCACCATCCCCGTCGCGATCCAATATTTCGAGATCTAATTTCCGAGGAGGCAGTAAACTCGACCGCAGTAAGGCCGATCGACGATGCGCGGAGTCATGAGTCACGAGGACCGGGAAAAATGATTCAGCAGCCGCCCGCCCTCTCCAGAGCACGAACTTTCCGACGTCTCAGCGATATTCGTATCTCGTTCGCGTCCTTCAACCCCCGTCCACCACCTACGGGAGACAGCCTCTCTCACCTTGGTCGTCACCGGGGATACCTGACCATGGAATCGAGTCTACGACGAAAGGGGGAAGAGAGCGCGGCCGGTGGAATCGAGAAAGGGCGTCCGCGGGGTGGAGACGCGAGCGGAATCGGGAAAAAGGAAGGAAACGAGGCGGGAGCGTGCGCGGAGAGAAGGGAAAGGGGCAGAGGGGGGAAAACTCGGTTCGCCTCTCCTCCTAACTGTGAGATAGGGAGGAGAAATACGCGGTCGTAAAAGACGAAGCGCGGTCCCCAAAGAAAATACGAATTAAAGAAGCTAACCGGTGATCCGTGGAACTTCTGTGTAATCGAAGGAAGACGTCAACGCATGATACTCCTTGGGAAATGGATCAGAAATGAGAAACTTTTGTATCAGGTTTAAATATTCGAGGAAGATCGACATGACTGAACAAGGTGTGGCTTGTTTAATTTCTTTTTACGAGAATTTGGAGTGAACCTTGATAACTGTTACTGAATGGTGTGAGTTTAATATTGAAATAATGTACGCGATATTGTGTAGACAAATTTAAAGCTGATGTTCTAATGAAAGCATCACGATAGAACAAGACTCGAGATCCGTGCGTGAATGCGCGACGACAAACAAGTTGGAGAAAGGTGTAAAATGAGATTATTGTACAATTGGATTAATGTAATGGTTGCTCGAAGTTCGTCCCATAAAACGGCAAGAACGCCTTCCGGTGCTCAATACTCGTGCGCAACAAGGCAAGGGACGCCCAGCAAATTGGTGCCATCTAGATTTTGTTCGAGTATATCCTCCAGGAGTAAAACATTGTGAAAACTAACGGTCGCGTGACGCTCGTGTTGTTAGCCGCCGGAAGGTATCGTTAAAAAGTTGAAGAATTAACGTTACAATAAAATTGATTACGCTCGAAACAAAATAGCCGGCGTTTCTCTTTTAAAAACGGAACTCATTTGCCGCTTAACGAGTGCCGAGCGTTCTTCGAACATTGTCTTGACGTCTGACTTTAACTCGCGAATACACTACAGAAAATATTTAACGCCCAACGAAACCAGTAAAATAAACTGCAATAACAATAAATCCGGAAAGATCGATTTGCAGCACCTAATACCAACGAGCCAACAGTTATTTATAGCCGCAAGAAAGAAATACAATGTCGTAGCTTCAAAAAGCGCCGGCTACAGTTTCATTTCCTTTAAACCCTCCTACCAACAACCCTCTCCACCTCGGTCGCATTTTTTATGCATTTCAATCTCTAGGCCCGCCATGCATCCCGCATAAAAGTACGGTAACTCCTACAGAGAACGAAAAGGGTGGGCTCAGTTCCTCCACCCTCGAGCACCATTTAATTTTAAACATCACAACTACACGTAAGCAAGTCCCTGTGACGAGGGTGTTCCCGAAACGTGCACCCCTGGATAGAGAATGTTGCACGGATCCGCTCTCTTGCCTCCTGCCCCATGGGATGAGTATTAACTGTAGATAAGAGGGGCTCGGCCTGTGAACCCCAGTGACAAGATACAATGGCAGCGTGTGGCTTTAACCCTTTCCACCGGCCAGCCCCCATCAAAAGCAACCCTTCGGTACAATAACGCTGGAACTCCTCGCGGGAACGCCCGTAAAGCCCGCCTCTCCCTCTCGTATTTAATTTACTGAATAATTGGAATCAAGCTGCCTCATTTGTGTGCTGGCTACCATCCTTCCCATTCCGTTCACCCTCCCTCTATCTAAGCCTCTCTCTCTCTCTGTAATTTCCAGCCCCCACAAGGTCGGATTCGGGATCCTGCGGGAGCCTGATGAGGAGATCTCTGCGCGTTCATAAAACTCGCCTCGACCTATCCTGCTGTCTCGCCCTCTCATCCGTTTGCCCGTTCTCCCTCCTTGCCATCTTCTTTTCTCCTTTTCCCCATCTCCTCTCCGTCTATCCCTCGGCCGAGTCCCACTCCACTCGCTAGACCAGTCGGCTAGCTTCTCTCCTCTTGGACCAGCCGCGAGGTAACCGCGAGGGTGAATAAAGATACCCAGGATAGCCAGGGATTACTGTTATTCGGTCGGAGGTGGAGGCGGACCGAGTCGCTAGTTTGAATAAGCACTCTGCAGAATTTTCAGGGTCGATGCTGGAACTTAATATGCGAATTCCGGAGGGTGGATACGTGGAATGGGGTTGCTGGGGCTTTACGCATTTTTCCCGGAGTTTTAGCACGGTCGCGACGGTGAATCATTGATGTTACTGATCAACTGTTGTGTACATTGTAGATTTAATTATTTTCGGCTTCGATGGCGATGTTCTTTGGTAACGGTTTTGAAGTTAAGAGAACGAAGAAGTGGCGGTTTTTAATTGTTTGGATATCTGTTCTCTGTGACACTATTCAGTAAAAAATGATTCGCGGTAATACGGCTTCCTTTAAAATCTGCGAACGCAGATACGCTCCCACGGTCGTAACAATCCCGTTTCACAGTTTAATCCTGCAATGCATCTAATCGCTGATCAGGACACCATCGAGGGGCACCATAATTCAGTCCGGAGCGGCTGATTGCACAGAGGAAGTTCGTTGGAGGAGCGTCTGGTGGGAGGAAGATTGGATAGGATGAAGGAACGAGAGAAGCAAATGGAGGAGAGCTGCGCCTGAGCACGCATGCGTCTTCAAAGTAACCAGAAATCGATGGCCGCGCGGCTGGCGCGTTCTTTACTCCTATAGTGTGTGTATGCGTGTATAAATATATACACATATTCGCATAGCTGAACACTGAGAAACGCTGCTGAAGCCTATGCAGCCTTAGAATCCGACGGGGAGTGGGATGCAAAATATATAATGTGTCTTTATCTTTTGTAAACCCTTCGAAAATGAAATTTATATCACTGAGGAATCACTAACTTTTAAATATCTATAAAATGTACTTATATTTCTCTACAAAAACCGTTGATGTTTAATATGATTATCAAAAGAAACGAGTCAGTTTGAAAATAAATCATGCACTTCATAAATTGACAACATCAGGTCAAGGTCATTCCAAAGTTAAATAATAAAAATGTATGGCACAAGGATTAGTGATTCCAAAAATGATTCAATATGGTTCACATGAAGGTATACTCTCTTTAGAATCTTTGAAACCGTGAAAATCCACATTGATTTGAACTGTCTAAGTAGAATCATTTGATGAACGTTATTAATTTAATTGGTGACAAATTTTAAAAATGTATGTTGGAATTGATAAGAGAATTCGTACGATTTTCCCCTAGCACAACTAGCGGCAGACGCTGTAACTATCCTTGACGGTACAGTCGGTATCAAGGTTTTTACTGTTGTCGATACAGGCACACTGGAAATTCTCCCTACCTTACCATCATTGAATTAAAGCGGGAATTACGAATTTTTATTCCGACAGTCAATAATTTAAAAGTGGCTAAGTATTTCTGGATAGATACTGCAATACATAATAATTTCTGCCTGTTACTAATGAATTCAGGTATTCATCGCAAAGTACATATTCTAAACAATAAAACACGTCTATCTTCTAATCAAAATAATTATAAACCAATTGACGATAATGATATATCAAACGCAGGTAATATTAACATGTCTCACGAGTTGAAAACTCGCGAATCACTAGTTTCTTAATAGAAATATCAAAATAAAAATTTGAATAGATAGTATAAGTAATCCACAATAACTTCGTGTTTAACTGTAAACTATTTCTCATCGGTATCTCAGAAATCTGTAATATCGACAGAAAAATTCCCACCAAAAATGCCACGGAATCTTACGAAAAAGGGAGGTTATAAGTGACATTTGCGTTTCATTAAAACACTCGTGAATAATCGGTACACTTTATGTAAGTAGTTAATACTATATATAAAGAAATCATTAAAGATATATAAATATAGAAATTTCAACACCTACTCAATCATTGCATGCGTAATACTATATTTCTCTCATAAAACTTTCCTTCGCCATGATGGTTATATGGACGAGTGTATAAGCAAACGATGTCGGGCAATTATTTCAAAATGTTTGTGCAATGTTACCTGTCATCCATCTTCCTCAACTCCATCGAAACTCGGGTCATTACGCTCATCAAAACAGCTTTTCCAGTATAAAACAAACTTACACGCAACTTGTTTCTTTTAAAACTTTTAAGCACACCCTCGCACCGTACAACGGACACCTTCCCGGGACAACGGACACCGTATGCGCGCGCATAGGATCCATGATGGCCGCCACGAGTGGATCATTGGCGGGCAAGAATGAAAGTGGGGATACGAGATCCAAGAGTGGGATTCACCGCTGGAGGAATAATTGGTTGGTGGAAGGGATCCGCAGCCAAACCATCGCGAAAGCTATTGGCGGGACTGCCATTACGCCATAACGAAAAATAAGGGCAGCCATCATGGATTTCAACATGGCCGTCACCATAGCACATCACTGATTCCCTTCGCTGTTTCAACCGTCTCGATGCTTTTAACCGAATAATGTAAGTTATCGATTTATAAATGAACTTCGCAGCAATATTGGTGTTGTATAGAACAAATATTTAACAGACTTTAATAGCAGGTCACCATGTGAATGCTGCTGGACATCAGTGAATATTTTGTCGACACCTTGTATTCGGTATGTAACTATTTTACCTTTCGTATTTAAGATATTAAGAAAATTTTCATGATTATTACAAAGAACTTTTACGATGATAAACAAACATACTGTTTATGAACTTTTACATAAAGGTTAGGTACTCTATAAACTCCATCCACCGTGAAGAAAGTTACGTGCTATTCGATTCAATAAAACAATATACATAGGAGCGCTTTTTGTTTTCACAGCGGCCTACAGTTTTTACTCGACAGCAATTAGCCGTGTCATTATAAATGTAAACATAATAAGATTCGTCATATTGTAGAGGAAAGTGACCAACTGTGATTGTTGTTCCCTGATTTATTATGCATAATTCATGAGGAGCACTTAATCTCCGAGTTTACATACTATTCTTCTAGCGCTAATATCCCGTTTTATGAGGAAATGTTACACATACAGATTAATTGTCTCGTATATAGGATTTACGAGCAATTAAAGGTGTAACAGTAGGCCTGACAACACAGCTTCGGATTCATAAAATCATGAACTCCCGGTGTGTGAACTATGTGGGCAAGTAATATACCTGTTTGTCGTCCGCCGTAAAAGTCGAAGCCGAAAGATCCTTACGCAAACCGTGGCGTTTCGTGCATCCTAAACGCAAAGGAAAACAGTCGTAAACTTTAAGTATCGACGACTGCATTTGCTCAGTCAATACTTAATTCATTCACAACGTTCCCAAAAGGCGTTCCGCGTTTAACCCTGTCCCTGTTGGCTGGGACAACCGCAGCTGATCGTTAATAAATTTCAAATTGCTCCTGAAAGAACTACCCCGAGAGCTCTAGCCGGTAATTAAACTCGTACGACGTCGGAACTATCGTGTGTAGCGCGTGCATTCTGCGTCTCATTAAGTAGAAAAGGTACGCCATGAACGGACACGCGGTACATTACACTTAATAGGACGCGCAGTCCACCGAAAGTCCAATTATATTTTCAGGCTGTCCGTGAATAATTTGGGTAATGGTATTATGCAAAGCGGCTGCAACAAAAATAGATAGTTTCAATATTTTATAAACAAGTAGCCGTTGGAGATATTGAGACGCATTTCGAGTTGATTTGTAGGATTGCGCTTGAAGCTGTATTATAATAAATTTTGCTCCCGGGACATGTTAAAATTATTATCTTTTAATGACAGTATTCACGAAAGATATACGTAACAGCTATTCACGGAGAAAATAAAATTGTGTACACTTTATCTAAATCAATACAGAAAGATTTGTTGCGGAACGAATTCTAATATATTTTAAACGTACCGACAGACTCTAATCATGCTAACGGATTCAATGGTGCTAGTTAGTTCCAGTAATATATTTGAACATGGTTGCGGCCTGCCGCGGGAAATAAAAACGTTCTCGTGACGCAACACGCCCTGCATTGTTGTGTTCCATTTACGCGACACTCGAGTTTCGCGAACGAGAAACAAGAATCATCGTTCACCTGTTCATAAGGTCAATAGGTAATGCGATAACGACCGTTCATAATGGTTACGGACGAAGGAATTACCGTGCAAACCGACACTTAAGGTTTATCGTGTCTCTTACCCACGGAGTTATGTATACCGTTCTCTTAAAAGTGAACGGTAGTGAGTTGTAACAAGATTATTGACTTTAAATCCCCGCGAATGACCCTATAGGAGATTGAGGCTACAAATATATTACCAATACTAAACGGGACCCGCGTATATACACAAATCATCCGGCCACTTAACGTCGGAAAAATAGCTGAGTAAACAATTTGCGGAGAAGTCATTTTGCTCGCGCACGTAACTTTCGTATGGCATGCCCCTAACCCCTTACCTTAGAGCATAAACGCGAACTCGGCGATGAAGATTTCAAGCTGAATTTTATAAATATGAACGCTTGTAAGCGATTCCTTCGCGCAGAAGTAGAAGATCGTGTTCACCTGTACTCAACCTTCGGGGTAAACCTAACTGTAGATCTGTAGTAAATACTTTCTTGAGGAACGAAACCAATTGCTCAAGGAGTCGTTTTAATAAAATTCAAAGTGCTTTTTGAGAAAATTAAGTTCAAGGCAAATGACCAGGCTACGCGTATTATTTAGAGAAAAGAACGTACCGTTTGACCTCCATTCTTCATTTCGTATGGTATGTGAAAGCCTAATTGCCCTTGACAGTCATGGTTCTGTGTTTATCGTATTACCGACACAATGCCACTTTCCTACGACAATTGAGAAGGTCGTATGTCAAGAGATATGACATTTTAGCCGAAAAGGAGACACAAATGATGGTTAACGTTTTAGAGAGATGCCCTGGAAGTGGGCAAGCTGCGGATCAGCTACCCCTATAACGCTCATTACTGACTTCTATAAACCTATTGTGCATCTATTTCTATCGCAACAACATACGATCAAGTCGCACTATATCCAGCACAAAAAGAAGAATCTTAATTTGAAGTTTCCTACACTGAAAGGAACACGATCCAACGATTAACGCAACAAAGAGAGAATTCAAAGATACAAGAAAATCGTTAATACCCTCATATAACAGTTTGTTCCCCTTTCCCAGCCATCATCCACAAATCCCATATTAAATTACATCCGAACGCTTCAAGGCCGTAAAACCTACAGCAGGATGCGCTAGAAACAATCACCAAAGAAGATCTCCGAAAAGAAACACCGGTACCAAAATGGCGGTCGAGTGCTCGCCGCACAACCATCCCTACGAAGCAATAAGATATGAAAGCCAACCGCTATCGGTTGTAGCATTTATGAATACACCGTGCAGGTATAGCCAGCCGTGTTCACCGATAACAAATATTATCGGTTTCGAAAGGCAACGTGAGGGGCGAGCAGGGTGAAAGGGAGGAAGGCAGAACCTCCGCTAGCAACCGGGCACAGTCATCGAACGGCGTATCTGTTGGGCTCGCGTGTAACGATCGAAGATAATTTCCGTCACGAAGCAGTGCATCATTTATTGCACCGCGGCCGAGGCAATAAAGATTTCATGCATTCCGGTTTAAATGCTCGCTGCCCGCCAAATCTATCGTGGCCGTTTGATAACGAGGCTCTGGTGTTCGCCAGCTAGCCGCTAGTGAAACGAGAAGCAGCGACGAAGAAGAAAAGGATGAAAGAAAAAGAAGGTGGAAAAGAAGGAGAAGAAGAAGAAGAAACGAAGATACGGTTCTCGCGATAAGCAGAAGCAACGGGTTGACGTCACGGAGCAATAAAATTCCGGGATAGGCGACCAAGCGCGTTCGCCTCGGACCGTTGGGGCCTCCTGGACGGCAATTCCGTCGGGGAAGGTCAAACGATATCGCCTTTTCCTTTTCTCGCTCGCATCGATTAATTATTATTGCGAATTTCGCGTCGCTGGCACCAAGAACGGTCCGCTAGGGCCGTAAATCCTGTCGCGGACGATCGAGTTCGTCTTGCGTAATGCGGAATGATAATTACATATTTAGCCGGTCATAATTATCATGAGAAAGTGTTACGTACGACGGAGAACCAGTTTCGGAATTGCGTTAAGGCATTTTTTTATCGCGGGGCGCTCGTTTCTTGTTTCTTTTTCGATGCACCTGTATATACATACACTCACGGGCGCGCACCGCTCGTTAAAACATTAACTTACGTTCGCGCGATTAATGGCGTACGCAGTTCAAGGTTTCCAGTAGTTTCGGTGCAAAAAAATCGAAAGTATCGAGAGATTGCCTCTTCGTTTTTCCCTGTTCTTTCTCGTTTATTGTTTTATGCCGCGTCGGTTGCGAGGTTGTTAACCATACACATTATATTCATTTGTTGAATAATCCATGGTAATTCCTTTTAGAAGCTTCGGCGGGTCATAAATCTTGCCGGTGAAAAAATAATTTATTTAATCTCTTTATTTTCCATTAACCTCGATAATTGTGCTCGATGTTGTGCGTAAAGCGTTGCTTACGAAACCATTACTATACACGAAAAATTTCTATTTTCCTTTTTATCTTTCACCAATAAAATCCTAATGACAAGTCCAGCTAAATGTGTAAATAACATAATTTCCCGATGTTGGAAGATCGATCATTATTGATTGTACCGGAAGCACTAACGGTTATTGAAACAAATTATACAGTGAGGGGGCTGTGAAACGGAGAAGGCACTTCCGGTCTGACGACACGTTTTCGAAAAGACACAGGCTCGGCGTTGCGTGAGAGACGCGCGCGATGGATCGTGGAAAAAGCACGTTCCGTTATGTATAGAGATCCGGCGATAGTTTGCACAGTGACTCTATCCTATCTCCGGAACTGTCCCCTAATTGCTAAGGCAAACGTTCTAATGAGAAAGCCTAACGCCTGGGTGCAGCGGCCGGCCACGCTTTGGGATCGGTCAATCTTAGTCTCGACCTTCCTTCGCTGTGGGTACATCCGCTGTTGTTAGCGTTAGAATTCGCACCTTCGTATAAATTATTAACGGCCTGTTCGTTAATGATACGATTACATTTTATGAAGGGGACACGTGGCGCTGTACGCTCTGTCGGCGAGCCGACGTTTGTCAACGGTTCGACGATCCTCGCGGCGACTTTGAACGATCGCCAGGTTCCGTTTCGACTATGCCAGTGTGACAGTGTTGAAGTGTTGTTTCTAGTTAATGCAAAATTTATTTCGGACCTAGATGTGAATGATCTATTTAAATATACCTTTAGTCACCAGCCCCTTGAGGATGGCTGATCCATTATAACTCATTTCACTGTGACTTTATATGTTCGCTAGAGTTTCGGTAGATATCGTCTTATAGGAATATGATTTAAAAATTGGAGGCACTCCAAGATTGCAGCAATTTCGTAAGAGTATTAAAGCTTTATCTGTTTTTATAGCACAGGAATTAATAGATTATTGGCAACAAATTAGTTTCAAAGTAAGGAATATAGCAAAATATCGCCATCTGCAGAGGATGTTCCTCAATTTACTCCAACCCAGTGATCTTAACAACTTCTTCTTTCCTCGACAAATAACGATTAAAATCGCAATTTTCACCATTAAGAATTTAATAGC